AAAATCCGGAAGGTAGATTCACTTTAATTCGTTCTACGTTAAGATTAATTTGCGGTCATACGAATCTAAAATTGTTCTTATATTTTTTGTAATTGAACAATATTTTTGTTTGATTCTACTACAAAGCTGTGATTAGGGTTTTTGATTGTGGAAATTACTCTTTGTTGTTTTTTAGTGGAAGGGTCAAGTAATTGTTGATCTATTCGACTACAAAAGCTAACAACATATGCTCTAAAAAACTTCGTCGATAATGTATTTTGCTTTTCTTTCTCCCGAGTTCACTCCCTTTCCCAAGCGTAATCATGGGTATAGGAGTATTTATGTGCGCATACTTACTCTTATTACTTATACATCAAAATGTTCATACACTACTTTTAAAGAACTGTTATCTAACAGTTTTTTTTTTTTTTTTTTTCTGGCTTTTGCCAAATCAAAAAATTTGAAAAAATGTTTTTTTTGGCTTATAGATAGTACTCTAGAAGAGTTGCCAAATGTAGCCTTAAGGTGAAATAACTATAGGTAAAGACTCTATAATGAGTGCGGTGAGATAACGTTTATAAAATTGGCAGGTTGTGTTTGAGTTGTGGATTGTAACCGCATGCCACCACATGTATAGAAGTGCTTGGTACAATTATAGACACATCAGTAGAAGGACCCATTGGAGGTGAGTGGTTGTGGGGGATGAGAAGAAAAGAAGAGTGAACAGACAGACAGTGACTCTCTTTTCTATGGTTTCAGTGGAGAAAGAGGGCTCTTAAACATACGCATTAATGCAATTTTATTCTCTATAGAATGGACAGGTGTCTTGCAATTTCCTTCCCATCTATCTTAAAGCTTTGGATGGGCCTGCTAGAGGTTGGAAATCATTAGGATCTAGGGCTCTGTAAGTAATGGATGAAGTTTTTGAATGTAACTGTAACATGGAGAGTCAATTGATCTCTTACATGCTGTATTTTGATTGATATACTGTATTATTGGGGAGTGGTTGAGCAATATGACGTTCCACTAAAATATAGATATCAACATCATTTTGTGTTGATTATTGTTGTATTTTTTTCCTGCCTCTTATTATTATTATTATTATTTTTTTGTGTTTAAACAAAATGAAATTTCTGATTTCCGGTCTATTATGTAATCCAAACACATGTAACTCATAAATCATAATGTGGTTATTATATTGATTTGTGTTGAAGTTACTCGGTTGGAAAAAGGTGATGAAGCTGGAGTTAAAGTCAGCTGTTCTTATGTCAGTATTTAGGTAATGGACTATTTTGGGGCATAGACCCCTAGTAAGAGGTGCCTGGTGATTTCTTACCAAGGATTTGGCTGTGGACTTGGTTCTGTATAGTAAGCAATATCTTGGTGTTGGTTAAACTGAGTTGTAATTGATGTGAGGTGGTTTTTTTGTTGGAATGTGTGTGTTGTATAGTGGTTGGATTCGGTTTTGAATAGTATGAAAGTAATGTAGGAGTTGAATTTGGACTCATGGATGTGGTCTTTGGTGTGTGGTTGTAGTGGACAGTGTGGAGGCAGCAGCTGTGGTGGTGGTGGTGGTGGTGTTTTTGCAGATCAGTGGTGGTTGGTGTTAATAGGATTTTGAATATGAGTTCAGAAGGCAGGAGCCGAAGCAGGAGCAGTAGCAGAAGCCCGTTGGATCGCAAGATTCGTACACAACGCTATTCCTATCGGGATGCACCATACAGGAGGGATTTGCGTCGGGGTTTCAGGTTTTCTTGTCTAAAATCATTTGTTCATGATTTATTTTTTCTGTGTATACCAAGTGCTGGTTGGGAGTAGAAGAACACATATAGAAGCATTCTGCTAGATGCTCAAGCTGTTCCTTAATGCTCTGTATGGAAGGGCCAGGATCTTGGAACTATCATGATTTTACATATGGTTTCTCACAAACCATTGCTTATTTATGTTTATTTATTTTTAGCTTGAGTACTTGCACCAAAATTTTTATGATTGCTCATCCTGTTACATTGTTTATATAAAGTTGGCTTTCCACGTGTTGATGCTACTACAGTCACGTTTTTTTCTTCTTTTTTCTTGCTTGCTTTATTTCTTAAGCTTGCGTGTATGGCATATTCTTGGTGATGAACAAACTTATAATGTTTCTTGGTTGCATTTCGCATGAATATTTTCTACTCGGCTAGCCATGGTCTTGGATACTTTTTCTTGTTAGGCAGGTTTCTCATGTTCTTTTTCTTACAAAAGAAATATTACTACTATTCTTCTATGAAGCCATCCTCCAGTTTGATATTTTCCTTGGTTGGATTCGTACTCCTCTCCCCCTTGTTTGTAGTCGGAACATTGGGTGGGATCAGGCGTTCTTTGTGAATGAGCAGTTATATGTTTTCCTGAGGCTGTGCTCGTCCCCTGCTCTGCTGCATCCTGAAGTATCAGGCAGTTTGCAATATTTTGGTTATAGTATTGAGAAATGGACATTATTGTTTTTGGGTTGTGTGTTCAGTGTTCTTGCAGGAAATTAACAAGTGATGGTGTTTTTTTTCAGCGAGAACATCCTGTGTAAGAACTGTAGGCGGCCAGGTCATTATGCTAGAGAATGTCCTAACGTGGCACTTTGTCACAACTGCGGTCTCCCTGGGTAAGAAAACTTGTGATTTGCTTTTCAGTAGTTCAGTTGGTATTCGCCCTTTCGTAATTTGAATATTTGAGCATCAAAAATTGATTTATGTTTTCTTGACTGGGTGGAATCTTTAATTGTTGAGGACATTTTGAATGAAGGGATTTCAAATGGAGAGGAATGAGAAATCTCTTCAGTTTTAAATTGTTTGGATGAGTTGTTAAATCTCCATAAATTGAAACAGCAAAACATTTCTCAGTAAATTGGTGGGATTTGTGGCCTAGGTGAATGAGATTAGGACAATACAAAGAGGATTATGTTAATGGTTGTAACATCAACAAAAGTGATGTGGATGAGGGTGGCCTTCATAGCACACTGGTAATTATTGTTGAATTAGTTCAGTGATAGTGGCAGTATCGATGACAGAAGTATTTCAGTTAGTGAGGTTCTAGTGGCACTAATTTTAGTGTGGTGGCAGTGGTGGGTGGCTACGCTAATGGCCATGGTGGCAATAATGATGGTGGTAGCATTGCTGGTCGCGTTATGGTTGCAACCTTGGTTGTGACTCTGCAGAATTCTAAATACAACGAAATACAGCTTCTGACGAGGTTTTCATATGTATTTGGCATTTCAAAATCCCTTCTACATTTTCAAACAACCAAATTTAAGGTGCGCTTGGAAAGATTTTTTTTTTTTGTAAAAAAAAAAACAGAACTAGTTTTTGTTTTTTCTGTGATAAAAATTAAAAATATAAAACATGTTTGATAGTCATTTATATTTAAAAAATTATGAAAACAAAAATAAAAAATATGTTTGGTATTATGGCTATTTTGGTTAATTTTTTAATCTCAAATAAGTTACTCCTCAAAATATTATTGGGAAATGCACCACCCAAAACCACCAATACCCACTACCCATTTACCCAAACCCATCGATACCCACTATCACCAGTCCCTAAAACCCACCACCAGCACCCAAAACTCACCACCACCACCCCTCTGAAAACCCATCGTGCAATGCATCACCACTAGCCCCCAAAACCCACCACCACCCACCACAGAAAACCCACCACCACTACCCCCCAAAACCCATCACCACCACCAGCACCCAAAACCCATCACCACCACCCCCTGAAAACCCACCATGCAACCCCCTTTGAAAATTTACTACCAACTCCTTAAACCCCACCACCCAACCCACCACAAACACCAGACCACCACCACTAGTCCCCAAAACCCACCATCACCCACCCTTGAAAACCCACCACCAGCCCCCAAAATCCACCACCAACACCAGTCGCCCATAGACCCCTAGAGTTTCATCGGAGAGAGCTTCGCCCACAATTGTAGATCCCACAGAGACGAGAGAGAGAAAAGGGGAGGGAGCTTTTTTTTGCTTTATATATGTATTACAAAAATGTCCTATTTTTTGCTTCTAATGAAAGTCGAAGGTTGGACCTCATTAAAAGTCCCATTAGCCCTGCGTGTTTTTGTTTTTCTGTGTTTTCAAAAAAAACATTTTTCTTGTTTTCAAAACAACTGAACTAAAAAAAAAAAAACAAATATATGAACCAAATGTATTATTTTCAAAAAAAAAAAAAAAAAAACAATGAGTTACCAAAAGCAACCTTAATTGTCACATTTTTTTTTTCACCTAAATACTTTCTTATTTTGTAGATTAATTCAACGATGATTTCCTTTCATTGTGTTAGCTAACTAGAGTGTTGTAGTATTTCTGGTAACTGGCTCACGTAATTTAGCCTTAAGCATACAGGATAGGTTCGGTTTTTGTGGTGCCTCTTTTGGGGGCTGGGCTCGACTGCTAAATGCAACATGTTTATCTTTTTCTTCTGGAGCAATGTGTGCTATAATACATTGGAATGGCAACTTGTTGGATTAGATTTGTTTGGTTTTGCCAGCCAAGTCCAAAACATTCGGTATAGGATTGGTATTTTTTTGCAGTTTTTTTTTTAAATCGAAGAAAATCTGTTCTAAGTCTTTATTTTTTGCATTATTTGGGGTTAAGGTTTTTTCTTGGATTTTTGTTAAGCCATATGTGTTTTATGCATCGTGTGCTTACAGTAGGAATCTCATGTCATTTGTACGATAGAGTAGAAACTTCGGCACCACAAACCATTGATTGTTTGTTCATAGCATGTTTTGGAGAACTTGTAGTGAAGTCTCCACCTAATGTGATGCCCTTTGTGCAAGTTTGATGGATGGTTCTCATTTAATAATTCAATAATGATTCTTGTAAATGGACTTCATAAAACATGCATGCACTAGGTGTGTTGCACTTACTAGTCACATTAGTATTTCTCTTGATTTATTCTACACCAACCCATAGCTGTCCTTACATTGCATTTTGCTTTAGATGTGAATTATTGGTGTTTCCCTTATGTCATAATCACTAACATTTTCTTCTCAAATTAATTCAAAAACATGAAACAGGCATATTGCTTCAGAATGCACCACAAAATCACTGTGTTGGAACTGTCGAGAACCGGGCCACATGGCTGGTAACTGCCCAAACGAGGGCATTTGCCACACCTGTGGTAAGGCAGGACACCGTGCTAGAGAATGCCCTGCTCCCCCACTGCCACCTGGTGACCTAAGGCTGTGCAATAACTGCTACAAGCAAGGCCATTTTGCTGCAGACTGCACAAATGACAAGGCATGCAAGAACTGCAGGAAGACTGGTCACCTGGCACGTGATTGTCAGAATGATCCCGTCTGCAACTTGTGTAATATATCTGGTCACGTGTCCAGAGAATGCCCGAAGGGCAACATTTTTGATGAGCGCGGAGGTGGTGGTCGTTTTGGTGGCGGTGGTTATCGGGACATTGTATGTCGGAACTGCCAGCAGGTGGGCCATATGAGCCGAGATTGCATGGCCTTGATGATTTGTCAGAACTGTGGGGGAAGAGGACACGTGGCATATGAGTGTCCATCTGGAAGGTTTATGGACCGCTTTCCGAGGAGATACTGATGGATGAAACTGTTGGCCAATAATAGCTTGACTGGTAATATTGTCTTGTACTATGTTTTTTGTCTAAATTGAGATTGTTGACTCGGCTTTTAGGGGTGATTAAGGTTAATATTGAGTTCTTGTTTGGTCAACTCTTATTAATACACTGTATGAGGATTGGAGCATTCACTAGTTTAGAAGTTGGTATGATATGGTTGTGCTTCTTGTAGGGTATGATTGAAATGTTGCAGTTAGGTTTTTATGCTTACCATTTTTCCTTGAGATGAAATATGGTCCCAGGTTGCGCATGGATTTGTGAGTTAAATTCGAGTTTGTTGACCTCTGGATGTTCATTTGAGATGGTTGGGATCTCACTTCACAGGCAGCACATCGAGTTTGGCGAATGATGTTTCATCAGCAACTCCAAGTCTCCAACCCATATATGTTTCTCCTCCTCCTTGAGAATGAGTCAGCTAGGTTGTGTCCTTGAAAACCACCTGCCCTTGCTCAATGTTAACTGAGATGTTTAGAGAGTTTCTATGTGCTGTTAAGCCACCTGGAAGGCTAGTATTCCTGGAACTTCTTGCTCATAGCACCCATTAAGATTTAGCCATTCAGAAATTAAAGTTGAGCAGGGGACAGGGGAGGGTGTTAGGAGGGGTAGTGAAGCTAAGGTGTTGGGGCATGGGCATAATAGCAGCCACTCAGTAGTGATGAATAGGCAGCAATAGCGCACGGTGGAGGTGGTGGCTGGGATGGTGATGATAGCAGTTGGACAGAAGTTTATTGCATGCTATGATGTAAACAGCTCATTTATTGTTGAATCATACAGATTTGGATTGCGATCTAGACCTCGTAATTGGTTCAAGTTCTCAATTTCAGCCTCTGTTTTACAACTAGAAGCTGTCAACTGAGTCCTCTGCTGTTTGTGATTGGATCTGTCAATTTTCTTCCACTGGTTAGTCTACCAAGAATTTGAATGCTTGCTAATAAGATAGATGAACTAAGGTTGGTGGTCAGGATCCTAGACAGAGACTTGAATAGAACTTTGGCTGTGACAGTTAGTTCTCACCTTTGCTTGAACTCAGGTTTTTGGCCTTGGTAAGCTTTTTTGCCACAGCTTATTGACGGACATGGTTATGCCATTTTGACAAATAGCCTTTGATGCATTGCCTGGTTTTTGTACCTAAAACACTAACGTTGGATTCAAGCGATGCATAAGATTTACCAAGGCCACCCATACCTCTCATCATCGTCCTTTACCTGTTTAATTTTTGTCTATTGTTCTTAGGGGGAAAAAATCGAAAGAAAGTTGAGCGGTTTAAGTAAGAAATGGGAACTTGGGAGGAGATTAGAGATAAGAGGAATGGATTTTTTTGTTCAAAATATAAATTTTCATTCAATCAAAAACTGGGAAAACCCTATTCCTATTCTAGCCTCTTTGAGTATGATTTGCATCAACTGCGTTGGAGGTGATATAAACCAGTAGGGTGGAAGAGTATCTAGTATGGGCTGCATAGCCAGCATATGTGCTGTTGAATTACAGGATCTCTCTGTAAATCTGTATCTGACATTGGATAATTGCATTACATATTGCCATATATCCTGTTGGATAACTTTGATATCCCTGCTGATTGCATTTGGTCCTTGCATGAGAGAGTCTAGGAGTACCTTTGAGTTTGGTTCCAAAACCACTGCCTGATAACCTATGTCAACCGTGAGTCTACAGGCTCTTCTAATTGTGCATACTACAGCTGCTAATGCTGAGGATACTGTAATTGCTGCAAAAGCTCCGTTAATCAATTGTCCCTCATGGTTGTGTACCACTGTTACATATGACGCTTTCCTCTTCTCCGTAGGCTCCATCGCAATTAATCTTGACCCAGCTCCTCGATTGGGTTTGTACATGAAGTATCAGATTCAGTTGTGAATGTAATATTGTCTTTTTCTGCACTTGCTTTAGATATCTCTGTAGTGACTGCTATAGCTTGAGAAAGTACTCTATTGCATGCACGTTGGTTGATGGTGTTGGTAAATCCATTCGTTGCATGCTTTCGAGATGAACCAGCATATGAAAGCAGGCATAGCCTGTGCTGGTTGTTCAATATTGGTTATTCTTACCAACCCCTCAAGTTTTTGTAAAAGCCACACTTCGATTCTTGAAATTTCACATCTATCAATGATAAAATCAAACGAAGACTTCTTCCATGCTCCCATGATCCACAGGCATGACAAAAGCAGATGTTCTACTGTTTCTTCCTCTTATCCGCAGTTTGGATATGTTGGGTTTTGAGTTAGCTTCCTTCTCCATAGGGCCCATTTGGTTGCCAATGCTCCAGTAGCAACTTCCCATATGAAAGACTGTTTGATAATTGTCTTTGTCTCTGTTTTTGTGTTTTTATTTTTAATTTTTGTTAAATATAAAAATAAAAATATATTTGGTAACTGTTTTTGATTTTGTTTTGTTTTCATTATATTGGAGACAAAGACAAAAAAAATAAGAACAAAAAATTTTTGTTCCAAGAAACACACGAAACAGAAACATGCACTTTTGTTTTCATTATATTGGAGACAAAGACAAAAACATAAGAACAAAAATTTTTTGTTCTAAGAAACACGCAAAATAGTAACAGGCTCTAATAAGGATTAATGAGATCCGGGTTTCGAATTCCTTTACCAGCTCTTTTTTTCGTGAATGTATTTAAACACACCCATCTCTCTCCTGTCCATCGCTAACTCTCCGTCGCTACCTCACTCTCTCCATTTTCTCACCTTCACCCACGATTTCTCCTCTTCTCTCTCTCACCGACGGCAGGTAAGCCCCTTCTCTTTATCTCTGTTTCTCCCTCTCTCATCTTATCTCCTCACTCTCTCTCTATGCATATATGCACAGATCTGTGTGTTGCGTGTGATTGGTGTGTTCTGTGTGCTGAATGTGTGTGTGTGTGTGTGTTCTGTGTGGTGGGTGTGTGTGCGTTGTGTTCTATGGGTGGATATTTGTTGTAATACTTGATAGGAATAACGTGAGACAAGTAACATAGTAGATGGGTGAAAGTATAATTTTCCCACCAACCATTGAAATACACACATAAGGCATATCACTCTCAATCATTATCTGAGATTGTCTCTGTTTATGTCCGAACACTCAGATGATTTTGTGTTGAATGATATCTATTTTCATTCAAAGTAGAAAAAATCATGCTTCTCCTCAAAGACCCCAAATCATACATACTGTTTGTGATGATCTCAATCAATGGGTTTGGGCAGATCTTCTGTGTTCATGCCCAAGCACTCTCCTATCTCTGCTCTGATGACATAGCCAACTCCAGTTACATAGATGACCGCACTTCCCTCTTGGACTCTTTATCATCCAGAGCAACCTCCATGGACTTCTACAATGAGACTTTCAATGATATCCATGGCCTCTTCCTCTGCAGAGGCGACGTTAACGCCTCTACTTGCCGGAATTGTGTCACTGGCGCTGGAGAAGAGATCATCAGGGTATGCCAGCCGAATAGAACAATAATATGGTATGATTTTTGCATGATTCGCTACTCTGATATCAACTTTTTTGGAGAATTGCAATCTGGACAAGTAATGCTTTTTTATAATACCCAACATTTTAATTCAACGGAGGGTCCACAAAACTTTGCAGCTGTGAATTTCATATAGTTATTGATATTGGATAGTCTGCTTATGGAGAATCTGTACACTACAAATAGTTTACCTCTGCCTAATGGAGATCAGGTTACCACCACCACCACCACCACCAAGCACCCCTGCACCTCCAACCGATCAAGGTGAGTCAAAAGTTTTGATTTAGTTTTTTGTACTGTCCCAAATAAATTGGCATATAACCTATTATGACAAAGCACATGGAAAACCAGGCAAAGTGGGAATTAAAAGTGGTAAACTTGCTGGGAGGTGTAAAATAGTGTTAGATTTGTCTCCTATGAACTTTTTATATGTGGTTTGTATCTCTTTAAGCTCACAATTAGATCTAACACCTTTAGCTATACTTTTTAGAGCATCAAACAGAGAGGTGTACTCTATATTTGGTTTCGATATTATGTTTATCTTAATGCAGTGTATTGCAGGAAATGGAGGATTGAAGAACATAACAAAAATAGCAGTCATCACAGTATCAACAGCAGCAGGTGTAGCCGTGTAACTGTGTGGATATTTACTGAAGAATTAAGCCCTGTTCTTTAAGAATTTCAGTTGAAATCCATACCAGCTTCGAAAATGCAAGGCAGCAATTTGCAAGGATCAGTTAAAATGAAAAAGGAGGCCTCCATTCACCAACATTTAATAAAAAAGAGAAATTGTCACTGTCCAAGTTAGGGGGGGAACCTCCTTCTGATGACTTTCTAAAATTAAATATTGATGGAGCCTCAAAAGGAAGTACTGGTCTCTCTGGGGTTGGAATGGTTGTGAGGAATGCAAATGGGCAAATAGTAGTTGCAGCTGCTACCTTTTATGGACCAGGTTCTAACATGAAGGCTGAATGCAGGGCCTTGTTTGATGGAGTAAATTTGATAGTGAGGAATGGTTTGGAGGGACATCAAATTGTTATTGAATCTGATTCCCAGGTGTTGGTTCAGATTATTTTAAGGAAAGCAGAGGTGCCTTGGAGATTGAGAGGAGTTATGGAGCAGATTTGGATAGCTTTGGAAAATTTTCAGTTCCAGATAAAGCACATTTACAGGGAGGCAAATGTGATTACTGACTTTATGGCTTCTTTTGCTGTTCAAAATGAATCGTTTTCTAAATTTTCATCTCAAAGTAGTCTGCCTTTGCCTGGTATATTGCTTATGCATCAGGATCAGTCTGGATTACCTGAGGCCAAAAGGAGGAGAGTGGTGTTTTGTAACTAGATAGAGCTGAGCTGCTGCATTGGTTTGTTCTGCTGCTCTGGACTGTATTGGAACTGAGATGCTAAGCTAAAGTTGTAGTAACTGGATTGGACAGGGCGGGGGGCTATGCTGAGCTGAAGGGACAAAACACAGCTGCTGTACAGGATCTGTTGTGAATTTTAACAGATTTTTTGTTTGTTCTTGTACAGTTACTGTTTGATTTGTTAAAATAGTTACTATTTTCTTAACAGTTTCTATTTTTTGATTCTTGCAATTTGTTGGTTTCAATAAATAAAATTCTCCTTTTAAAAAAAAAAATTGTCAGCAGGCAGGTTATGGTTGCTCTAGCCATGGATTTGGATAGCTGGCAGCTGGACTGTTTTGATTAGTTTTTGGTTTTAATCATTTTTTAAGGATTAAAGCCAACTCCTTTGTAAATAGAATTTTTGAATTCTTTTGCTTCTTGTAACTCCTTTGTAACACATGATTGTAAATCATTTTTCATGAAATAAAGAGTTAATTTGTTTGAAAACAAAAAATGAGATATTATAAAATATATTTAAGATAAAATTTGAGGTAGTTATTAAACATATTTTCTGTTTTTATTCTCATAATTTGATAGACAAAAATGGCTACCAAACATGTTTTCTGCTTCAGTGTTTACCACAAAACAGGGATAATTTTTTGTCTCTGTTTTTAGTTTTTTGAAGACACAAAAACAAAAACGTTACTAAACGACATCTGAATTTTTGTGGGGATCTTTAAGCCCCAAATCATTTTCCATAGGACTTTAGGGGTTTGAAAAGTTGAGCTTTGTAGTTGTGATGGTCTGAGTTGTGATGGTCTGGGAGGGACTTGACTGTCGTTGAAGTAGTGGGAAAGTGGTTACATGAGCAATATAGAGGAATTTGATTAGAGGAAATTGTTATTTTTTTAAATTTAATTAAGAAAATAAGAAGTAAAAGTTTATCAAATCCTCTCATCCACAAATTGGTTATATAGAGAATCTATTCCTAATTTATATTGAACATGTCACAAAATTTTTGAAATATTAACCTAGATGAGAGGGTTTAGATAACTTGTGATTTTGGCAAAGGGCTAACGCCTAAAGGCATCTCATAAAGATCTCTTGTGCAAAGTGCTCTAATTTGCTCCAACTTTCTGTTGAAAACCACGTACATATTCAACATAGCTTCGACTCAACTAACAAGTAATACAGTTGAAGTAAGGTTTGGCATAGTGAAAGACTAAACATTTACAGTTGGCAAAAGCAGAGCCAATGCATTTGTACCTTCAATTGGTTCACAAAAGTAAAAGCTGAGGGAGTAGTACGGTATGAGTAGTAAATTTANCATGCATATTCAACATAGCTTCGACTCAACTAATAAGTAATACAGTTGAAGTAAGGTTTGGCATAGTGAAAGACTAAACATTTACAGTTGGCAAAAGCAGAGCCAATGCATTTGTACCTTCAATTGGTTCACAAAAGTAAAAGCTGAGGGAGTAGTACGGTATGAGTAGTAAATTTAGACGTATTGAGTTTAAATTTTGATAATTCTTTAAGGTCATGTCATGAGAGATTTATTCTTCATAAATACTCTAATTCCGATGTATAAATTGGACCAAATATTTCTGACTGTCGAACAAAAAAAAAAAGAAGTAAAAGCTGAGCAATCCTCTTAAGTGTTACATTTTATAGAAGCGAAGAATATTTCAATGGTAAGAATTTACTCTCGCTTGTATGTGTTTGTAGGTTTTGCACGACTCATCTACACTTAAAATATAAAAAAAGCTTAAATTTTTTTTTTTNGCAGTAAATTTAAACGAAATTTTGATAATTTTTTAAGGTCATGTCATGAGAAATTTATTCTTCATAAATAACCTAATTTTGATGTATAAATTGGACCGAATATTTCTGACTGTCGAACAAAAAAAAAAAAGAAGTAAAAGCTGAGCAGTTCTCTTAAGTGTTACATTTTATATAAGCGAATAATATTTCAGTGGTAAGAATTTACTCTCGCTTGTATGTGTTTGTAGGTTTTAATATAATCCCTTCTTCCGCCCCCAAGAAAAATGTATTTTATTTTATTCTCGGCATGAAATTAGACAAATCATCGAGCTCAAGATCCTCTCTTTAAGTTTTTTTTTGGGTTGCAAACAAAAACTCCCAATCCTAAAGAAAGTGAAATTAAATATCATGAATACGTTTCCTAAAATTAGTAGTGATAAGTTTTGCACGACTCATCTACACTTAAAATATAAAAAAAGCTTAAATTTTTTTTTTTTAGTTTTTCTTTTATTCGAGTTTTTTTGGGGAAGTATTTTTTTTTATTAGAGTTAGGATAGAACCATGATATTAAAAAATAAATTTTNTATTAGAGTTAGGATAGAACCATGATATTAAAAAATAAATTTTTCATACCATACCGGAAATAATTTGAGGTAATAAATTTATTTTAATTTATTTGTAGTTATTGATCATATCATCATAAAATATAATAAAATATATTTTTTTACATATATTATATTTTTATTGAACAAAAATAAGTTCGATTACGTGACAATAGTGGGATCTTTAAAGTTGACATGGTGATCATTTTGGGGAAGAAAAGAAATAATGAAGGGGGGACATAACGTCCTCGTCATTTTATATCTGCCTTACGTGAGAAGATAAGAACATTATCTCGTTGTCTTGTACATACACTTTTGATTGAGGAATTCATTTCGCAATCACGGATTCAGAAAACAAAGGAACACTCCAAAAGGTTTTCATTTTCTCAGAACACTTCTGCTTCCACACCACGCTACAACAAAGGAGGTGTAAATCACACAAACAGTCAAATTGTTGTTTACTACCCACTCTTTTTTTTTTTTTTTATGGTTTAATGGTAAAAGGGTGTTTACATCAGTTTATTTATACTTCAAATCTCTTATCTGATCCGGTTAAAGTCAGACGTTGAAATTAAAGTATTTATGAGTGATAAATTCCTTATAATTTGACTTCAAATAATTATTAAAATTTAAATTTAAGATGTCTGAATTTACAATTCGTCTCTATTATCAGTTCAACTGCCATTTTAGATTATTTAGTACCCACTCTATCATATTTCAAACCTCCCTCTCAACCGAAAGTAGCACAAGCAATGCTCACTGACCTTACAGTGAAGGCACTGTTGACCCACACAAAAAGTCAAGAGAATGACTGGTGTACCGAGTTCGATATTGTATTCCAAGTTAATACAAGTAAAGGTATAATTATTTATCCGTAGAGGTGGTTCAACAGTTAAACATGATTTTTA